GAAATCCAGGAATGGCAACAGCTGGTGTCTGACGGCAACCGATCACTTTACCAAGTGGGTGGAGGCAATATCCATTAAGGTCAGTAAATGAAGAGTACGTGCTTAACTCTAAATTCCCTTCTGTAACCCATTAAAAAGGGTGCTTGGAACCAAAAATTGATTTTCGTATTGTATGATACCCATCAAGGATGAGACTGGCGAGGCCACCTCCAAGGCGATGATGGACATCTTCAACCCATGGTTCACCCATGATTGACTTAGTGTTAATGTTTGTCTATTACTGTTGGAGGGCCAGATCAGAACGCCTTCGAGGACAACCTTCAGGCACAGACTGAGAAGGATGTGGAGGTTTTTGACCGGGTAAAAATGATTGTCCGCTGTTAATTTATTTTCTGGCCCACCAAGATTATCAATCAAGGTGAGACTGAACATGGACAAGTCGCAGGAGAAACAGAAGGAGAGCTACCGGAGCAGAATCAAGAAGGGGACATGTGCTACGACATCCGGGCGAATTACTTTTGGAAGAAGGATGAAAGGAAGGCGAGACCTGGGAAACCTCGCTGCTCTTTTGCTCCTAGCTGGGGTCACCATCTGTTAAGGTGAATATATAAAATCTCAGTTAATAACTATTTGCATTTGCACACAAAATAACCTAAAGCTAGTTTTAGTTTCCCTAACACTGATATTTTTCTCTGTCTTCCTAGGGTTACCTCGGTGGAAGCCAACAATCTTCTCCAGTTGGAGCAGTTGGACGGTCGACCACTGAAAGCACTGCCTGGTATAGCAACTGCTCGGCCTCCGACCGCAAGGCACTACAGAGGGTAGTGCGTACGGCCCAGTACATTACTTAGCTATTTAAGGGCTTATAAGAAAGCATTTCACTGTTGTATTCGGCGCATGTGGAAAATAAAATGTGATTTCATTTCATTTGAGCTGTTTTCTCCATCTCTTTAGCTATCATACTCTAATTCCACTGATTTCAAAACTAGATCCTCCAGAAAGTGGAGAGCAACACTTATGCAGCTCCACTACATGATACATAAAAAAAAAGCCACATTAGACAGGATTACCTACACATACTGACCAGCTCAAATAGACAGAAGCCTTCTTTATGGCAGCACAATCCATACTCCTCTCTCGGCATGTCCAGCCCACTCATTATCTCAGCCAATCATGGCTAGTGGGAAGGTTGCTGTCTTTCTCTTTGGCTAAACCAACTAGGCTCGTAATTTAACAATTTTATTCGTATTTACAGATGGCATACAAGTTTGTTATTAAGGCACATTAAAGTTTACATGTTCCAGAAGGCATTTCTGCCAAAAAACACATTTTGCAACATACGCCTAGTTTCCTGAAACGAGTCACAAATAGTTCAAGTACAAAAGGGAAAATAAATATACATAAATATGGGTTGTATTTACAATGGTGTTTGTTCTTCACTGGTTGCCCTTTCTTGTGGCAACAGGTGACAAATCTTGCTGCTGTGATAGCACACTGTAATATTTCACCCAATATATATGAGAGTTTATCAAAATTTGATTCGTTTTTGAATTATTTGTGGGTCTGTGTAATCTGAGGGAAATATGTGTCTCTAATGTGGTCATACATTTGGCAAGAGGTTAGGAAGTGCAGCTCAGTTTCCACCTCATTTTGTGGGCAGTGTGCACACATCTGCCTACGGCAGCCTCTCTCAATAGCAAGGCTATGCTCACTGAGTCTGTACATAGTCAAAGCTTTCCTTAATTTTGGGTCAGGTATTCTGCCACTGTGTACTCTCTGTTTAGGGCCAAATAGCATTCTAGTTTGCTCAGTTTTTTAAATTCTTTCCAACATGTCAAGTAATAATCTTTGTATTTTCTCATGATTTGGTTGGGTCTAATTTAGTTTCTGTCCTGGGGCTCTGTTTGTATTTGTGAAGAGAGCCCCAGGACCAGCTTGCTTAGGGGACTCTTCTCCAGGTTCATCTCTCTGTAGGTGATGGCTTTGTTATGGAAGGTTTGGGAATCACTTCCTTTTAGGTGGTTATAGAATTTAACAGCTCCTTTCTGGAATTTGCTAGTTAGCGGGTATCGCCCTAATTCTGCTATGGATGCATTATTTGGTGTTTTACATTGTACACTGAGGATATTTTTGCAGAGTTCTGCTAATTTATAAAAATTTGAGCTGGCCACCCGGCCAAACTGAGCAATCGGGGGAGAAGGGCCTTGGTCAGGGAGGTGACCAAGAACCCAATGGTCACTCTGACAGAGCTCTAGAGTTCCTCTGTGGAGATGGGAGAACCTTCCAGAAGGATAACCATCTCTGCAGCACTCCACCAATCAGGCCTTTGTGGTAGAGTGGCAAGACGGAAGCCACTCCTCAGTAAAAGGCACATGACAGCCCGCTTGGAGTTTGCCAAAAGCCACCTAAAGACTCTCAGACCATGAGAAACAAGATTCTCTGGTCTGATGAAACCAAGATTGAACTCTTTGGTCTGAATGCCAAGCGTCACATCTGGAGGAAACCTGGCACCATCCCTACGGTGAAGCATGGTTGTGGCAGCATCATGCTGTGGGGATGGTTTTCAGTGGTAGGGACTGGGAGACTAGTCAAGATCAAGGCAAAGATGAATCGAGCAAAGTACAGAGAGATCCTTGATGAAAACCTGCTCCAGAGTGCTCAGGACCTCAGACTGGGGCGAAGGTTCACCGACCAACAGGACAACGACCCTACGCACACAGCCAAGACAATGCAGGAGTGACTTCGGGACAGGTCTCTGAATGTCCTTGAGTGGCCCAGCCTGAACCCGATCGAACATCTCTGACAGAGCTTGAGGGGTCTGCAGAGAAGAATGGGAGAAACTCCCCAAATACAGGTGTGCCAATACATTTTTTCAAGTTGCTAGGTGCTGTTTGAAAAAAAAGTTGTCAGGGTAGTCTGAAAAGTTGCAAAATCTAGCAACAAAATGCTAAATTGGCATCACTGGATGCAGATGTGGTGGATTGAGACGTATCCAATGCAAGAAAACAGATATTTCTAGCTTAAACTGATGGATTTTGATGGGGATTGTTTTGTTCTGTAACTTAGATTGACACACCGGTGCTCTAGGGGGTTAATGAGGCAATACAAAGGTGGTGTGACTAAGATGTGACTAAAATTAAAGGGCATAGACTACATCCTTTTTCAAATGACAAAAATATGACTAAAACTTAATGATATTTTAGTCCAAATGACTAAGACTAGACTAAATCTAAAAAAGAGTGCCAGAGTTCATTATTGAATACCACCTGTAGCTAGTGACGTTAGCTAGCTAGCTGGCGCTAACAGATTGCTAGATAGATAGCCAGCTAGCCATCGGTGGGCCAAATAAATGTTGCAGTACGATGTGCAAGTGACTCGTTAATTAGAATAAGCCTCAAATTTGCATCGTCAAAGTCATGAAAACGTGGCCATTTAAGATATATATTCAATTGTATAAGTGTTTCCGAGCGAATGAACTTACCATAGGCCAATTTTCTATGTATTTGACGGCCAAGAAGAACACGAAACCAAAAACGTACATCAGTTTAATCAGAACTACACACATGAACAAATACAATTTTGACAGCTGTCTGGCAACGTTCAGTAAAAAAAAAAAGTTACGGGTTCTTACTGTCCAGGCATGCTCTGGCATGTAGTTAAATTGAGATTTTTCTAACTTTCGGCAATGTTTCTTACTTCTTGAGCATCAAATGTTTTTAAATTAAAGGCATAGGGTATGAGCAAATCAATAGAGGAATACGAATATAATTTATGACCACATGTTCATGAATTTGATTATATAAGCTTGAAGCCCTTCAAAAACAGTACAGGACTTGCAACAGGAAGTAGGAAGTACGTTCATACCGTATTGCAACATCAACTAGCTAGCTACTTTTACCTGATTAACTAGCAATTCTTTCATAATATAGCTGTCATTGTTACAGTAGCCTGCACATCTTCCTTTTTTCACAGCTGTCACAAATCCTGTTGTGCCCCAGCAATGTTGATTTTGTTGTCAGTTTCATTTCAACATTTGTGTTTTCTTGGCAAGTTGTTGGTTTTATAATGTGTCCTTTTTTAAAATAAATACAAATCCTAAGTACATCTGTGCTCCCATTTGCCATTGTCTCTTGGAGATCCTTTGAATGGTTAAGTTTTTCATACTCTCAACTCATACCGTGGTATAAGCACGTTCATAACTGTTTTATAACACTTCAAATTATTGTCACTTTACTTAAGGTGTCTGTGCACACTCTATAAGGTCATATGACATGGTTATGATGCCCATCATTCCATTCAATGTAATAATGTGACACAGAGGTTGGTAAATTACATAACACCCTGTTATAACATCTGGTATGTAGACTCTTATGCAGCATGTAATAACATATGACATAAGTTGTCATGCAGACGGTTTAATAGCAGTTTTTATTAACAATTGACATTAGAGCATATGACAACAGTATGAACAGTCATTTTTAACACCCATTATAACAATTTTTATAACCTCTTATGCGGTGACTCATAACTATTTAAAATTACTTATGACAGCTTATGACACATTTTATAATGTGCTATATATATGTTATAAAGGCTTTATGAATGCATTTATAAGGACACTTACAGTAAAGTGTTACCAAACATTCCAATATCAATTGAGTTAGTTGTTAATAAAGTTGTATTGAATACTAAATGTCTGTGGTACACCCAATACGGCCACCGGTCCATTCTAGTAATCCTATGGTCAGTTAAGAACAAATTCTTATTTACAATGACGGCCTACACCGGCCAAACCCGGGCCAATTGTGCGCCGCTCTATGGGACTCCCAATCACGGCCAGTTGTGATACAGCCTGGAATCGAACCAGGGGGTCTGAGATGCAGTGCCTTAGACCGCTGCGCCACTCGGGAGCCCATAGGGAAATGACAAAGAAAGAGTTTGAAAAGGAGAGAGAGATGTTGGAGAAGAAGGAGGAGATAGTGAATAGGTTAAAATAAGATATGGAGGCGATGAGGAAGGAGATCAACAGAGCAGGAACTGTCATCAAGATGTGTGAGAATGAGATGGAGCAAGTGAAAACTGAGATGGAGGAGAAGGGAAGAAAGGAGCTGCGGAAAATGGAGCAAAGACATATGGTGGAAATGGAAAAGATCAAGATGGAGATTGAGGTACTGAAAGGGGAGGAGTTGCAGAAAACAAAGATGGACATTGAGCACAAACACAAGGATGAAAAGGAAAAAATCAAGATGGAGATGAAGGAGGAATTGCAGCAGATGAGCGTGTTGCTAAAAGAGGTGGTGAAGCAAGTAACATTGGATATGGAGGAGAATGGAAGCCATGAGGTGGAGAAAATAATGAATGAAATTAACCAGAAACACAAGGAGGAAATAGAGAATATCACATTGGAGATGGGTAAGAACAAAAAGGAGTATGTGGAGAGAGTGAGGGAGGTGTTGGAGGGAATGAAAGAGAAGATGACGGTGGTAGAGGAGAAGGTGAAGAGAGGGGAAGAGATGCAGGACGAGAGGGCCAAGTGGGAGAAGAAAGTTAGAAGTTGGAGTTGATGAGATAGGTGACGGAGAGCAAGGAGGACGAAATCACTAGTTACATTTGAGATGAAATAACTGAAGGAGAGGTTAACTGAGAGAGATTATATGATTCAAAAGATGATGGGTGAGGTGGAAAGAGAGGAAGATGTGAAGAGGGCAAGGGAGGAGTATAAGAAGAGGTGGAATACAGAGATTGAGAGTGTGGGTACAGAGTTTGGAAATAATAATAATATGCCATTTAGCAGACGCTTTTATCCAAAGCAATTTACAGTCATGCGTGCATAACAATTTTTTTTTGTGTATGGGTGGTCCCGGGGATCGAACCCACTACCTTGGCATTGCAAGCGCCGTGCTCTACCAGCTGAGCCCTTGGAGGAAAGAAGAGAGGACCTCAAGAGAGTGAGAGAAGAGTTGGAAGGAGTGAGGGAGAGGATGGAGGAGAGAGAAAGAGGTGGATGGGATGAGAAAGGATGTGGAGGAGAGGAGAGATGAGTTGGAGAGAAGCTTTAAGGAGGAGAAATTAAAAGAGGAGGAAATGATGAGCTAAACACTCAGATTTGTCCTTATGTTGGCAGCAGTCTATGGGCCAGGAGAGACTGAGATCCACACTTATAGAATAACAATACAGGTACCTCTATGGCCACAGCCACTTACACTATTCACTAACATTAGCAATAGGACAGATGAGACTGAATGGACCCCAGGTCTTGTTTGGATGCATAAACCACCTCAAAGTAGTGATGTTGTTACTATGGAAACTATAGAAATAACTGTACTGTTTCTTCCACTTTCAGATTCCCAGACAATACAAATGAGTCGGAAAGAGTTTTCCCCCCCAAAAGAAGCTGCCTTTACCCCACTCCCATATGACCCATCCCACCATGAACCCCTCCTATTTTCCACAAAAAAAGGCCCCGATACCCCACCCCTATATCCCCCACACGCCCTTAAACCTACCCCACACTCTTATCATTTAAAACGCTCTTATTTCATTATTCATTAAAGGCAAATAAAGGCAATCTGGAAGATGACGGTGCTTTGAACCCAGATGGGTGGTGAATGATGTAGACTAGCATAGTGGTTGTCACATCACAGAGACTTCAAATACTGATGATTGTAAGATTGTAACAATCATCATGCATGTTTCATGTTGTGTATTTTGGTGGTCATATTTAGAACTGCAGCTCACCCTACAATAATTACAACTACAGCTCCCTTCAGCACTCTAGTTTACCTATTCAGTTTGAATTCGCCCACGCTAGCCTGTTGTTGGAGGGAGCTGTAGTTGCAGAGCATGCTGCTGCCTTGCTTGTTCTGTATGCTGAGGACGACCAGTGGTGACGTTCGCCACCAGGTGGATATTCACTGAAAAGCACGACTCGGGAACTAGTCGTCAGTACAGCATTGTCATCAAACCTTGAACTTTTGTTGTTTTTATCTCAACAACGTGTTTATATCGGCTTCTAAACCAAGGTTATCTTTATCATCAATACTGACTTGGGACCCTACCACGGAATAACATGGACCAGATCCCTAAATTAAATATATGGTTCGGGAGAGACCGCCATAGGGGTGTTACATAAGCACTATGTGCAGTAACCTCTGTCTCTCATACTGCACAAACTTGCACAAATACTTGCTCTGTTCTGTATGACTCAATCACATCCCATATAATATCAACACCTCAAGCTCACTCATTTTTTAAAGCAACAGCAACCCAATACTGAATAGGATAGGTGGAATCCACATTTCTGAACACAACACTTGAGTACCTGACTGTTTCTGCATACAACAACATTTCCGTCATTGCATTGGCAATAGAACGTCAATTTGGCGTCACTGGCATGCATTCTACATACTTCTTCTTTGGGCCTTTCTGTGCTGCTGTCAGGTAGGCCTATGTGTGGAGGAAGAGAATGAGGCTCTTTTGGCAGTGAGCCACTGAACGTTGGATAGGGAAAAATACAGCTCTTTCAAAACAAGGAGAATGCCACACCTCTCTAGAGTTCCTGTCAGGTCTCACCTGGCTCTTCTCAGTTCTTCACCGTTCCACATTGCTTCACCACCATGGCATTCTCTGGGAAGTACAAGCTCGAAAGTCAGGAAAACTACGATGAGTTTCTAGAGGCAATTGGTAAGTCAAAACACTCAATAATATTTTGAATTAGGGTATTGCACAGAACATTGTTGTTAACGTCAAAATATCATCAATATTTCCCAACTAACCCTAACCCTAAACATAACCTTACCAAACCTTAGCCCAACCGAACCCTAGACAGGCAGGCAGACAGATACAGTAGATAGATAGATAGATGGACGGACGGACGGACGGAGAGAGAGAGAGAGAGAGAGGAGAGAGAGAGAGAGAGAGAGAGAGGAGAGAGAGGAGAGAGAGAGAGAGGAGAGAGGAGAGAGAGAGAGGAGAGAGGAGAGAGAGAGAGAGAGAGAGAGAGGAGAGAGAGAGAGAGAGAGAGATAGATAGATATTATTGATACATTCTAACCCACACCTGCTGTACTCTTCCCATAGGTTTTGCCAATGCCAAGACAGACTTCAAGGTGATAACAGAGGTGCTTCAGGAGGGGGATGATTTCACCTGGTCTCAGATGATCCCAAACTGGACCTGGACTAACAAGTTCACCATTGGAAAGGAGTGTGAGTTAGAGACCATGAGACGCTCCAAATTCACGGTGAGGGAATTAATGAATGAGTGAGTGAACGAATGAATATGCTCATTAAAATCATCGAATATCAGCTAAAGTATTCTAGAAGTTGTCATTTCAAAGATGTACAGCATATGTATGTTGCATCTGAACTTGTTTCATGTGCTGAACTCTTTACGTCCCTCTTAGACCACCGTCACTATGGAAGGAGGCAAGATTGCTATTCCGTTCCCCCAGTACCATTTTACTGCTGAGATCAGTGGGGAGAAGCTTATCATGGTAAGAGCAAGTGAGCGAGGTAGAGAGAAAGAAAGAGGAGAGTGACTAAGTAAGTAAGAGATTAAATGAAAGACATAAACTCAGCAAAAAAAAAAGAAACATCCTCTCACTGTCTACTGCGTTTATTTTCAGCAAACTTAACATGTATAAATATTTGTATGAACATAACAACATTCAACAACTGAGACATGAACTGAACAAGTTCCACAGACATGTGCCTAACAGAAATTGAATAATGTGTCCCTGAACAAAATAAAAAGTAACAGTCAGTATCTTGTGTGGCCACCAGCTGCATTAAGTACTGCAGTGCATCTCCTCCTCATGGACTGCACCAGATTTGCCAGTTCTTGCTGTGAAATGTTACCACACTCTTCCACCAAGGCACCTGCAAGTTCCCAGACATTTCTGGGGGGAATGGCCCTAGCCCTCCCCCTCCGATCCCTGACGTGCTCAATGGGATTGAGATCAGGGCTCTTCGCTGGCCATGGCAGAAAATCACGCACAGAACGAGCAGTATGGCTGGTGGCATTGTTATGCTGGAGGGTCAACTCAGGATGAGCCTGCAGGAAGGGTACCACATGAGGGAGGAGGATGTCTTCCCTGTAACGCACAGCGTTGAGATTTTTATTTTACCTTTATTTAACTAGGCAAGTCAGTTAAGAACAAAATTCATTTTACAATGACGGCCTACACCGGCCAAACCCGGACGACGCTGGGCCAATTGTGCGCCGCCCTATGGGACTCCCAATCACGGCCGGTTATGATACAGCCTGGAATCGAACCAGGGGGTCTGTAGTGACGCCTCAACCACTGAGATGCAGTGCCTTAGACCGCTGCGCCACTCGAGATTGCCTGCAATGACAACAAGCTCAGTCCGATGATGCTGTGACACACCGCCCCAGACCATTACAGACCCTCCACCTCCAAATCGATCCCACTCCAGAGTACAGGCCTCGGTGTAACGCTCATTCCTTCGACGATAAACGCGAATCCGACCATCACCCCTGGTGAGACAAAACCGCTACTCATCAGTGAAGAGCACTTTTTGCCAGTCCTGTCTGGTCCAGCGACGGTGGGTTTGTGCCCATAGGCGGCGTTGTTGCCGGTGATGTGTGGTGAGGACCTGCCTTACAACAGGCCTACAAGCCCTCAGTCCAGCTTCTCTCAGCCTATTGCTGACAGTCTGCGCACTGATGGAGGGATTGTGTGTTCCAGGTGTAACTTGGGCAGTTGTTGTTGCCATCCTGTACCTGTCCCGCAGGTGTGATGTTCGGATGTACCGATCCTGTGCAGGTGTTGTTACACGTGGTCTGCCAGTGCGAGGACGATCAGCTGTCCATCCTGTCTTCCTGTATCGCTGTCTTAGGCGTCTCACAGTACGGACATTGCAATTTATTGCCCTGGCCACATCTGCAGTCCTCATGCCTACTTGCAGCATGCCTAAGGCAAGTTCACGCAGATGAGCAGGGACCATGGGCATCTTTCTTTTGGTGTTTTTCAGAGTCAGTTGAAAGGCCTCTTTAGTGTCCTAAGTTTTCATAACTGTGATCTTAATTGCCTACCGTCTGTAAGCTGTTAGTGTCTTAACGACCATTCCACAGGTGCATGTTCATTAATTGTTTATGGTTCATTGAACAAGCATGGGAAACAGTGTTTAAACCCTTTACAATGAAGATCTTTGAAGTTATTTGGATTTTTACTAATTCTCTTTTAAAGACAGGGTCCTGAAAAAGGGACTTTTTTTTTTTTGCTGAGTTTATATAGAGTGAAGAAGTGTCCGAATACCCATATTGCATTCTAAATAGTAGGCTTTTTGGGAATTTGAAAATATAACGTTTTATAGTATTGTAGCGATCCTGGTTATATGAGTGATGTTACAATTCCCACCAAGTGGGTGTTTGCCTTTCACGCCAGTGACCAGGGTTCGCTTCCCTTCCCCCTCATTCGCTAAGTTGGTGTCAGAAGTGGGATGGTGCCCGTAAAGCCATCGGAGAGGCGTGTACACACAAGGAACTTGGTATAGAGGGACATGCTCTCCCGAATGAAGGGGGTAATGTAACAACCTTAACTCAACATCTAGAGACCTGGTCAAGAGGTTTGGACCTTTTGGCATAATGGTTAAAGCTAGAATCCTTAGTTGCTACATACATTTTTAGACTTTTTATTAAAGATATATACCTTATGAAGGCCTCATGAGCTTAGTTCAACTGTCATACCCTATCAGACCGCAAAATATAAGCTTGTTTTACTCCAATGTTTGTAAACAATGTAAAAGTAAACAAACACTATATAGCCTCAAAACATGGTTAAAACTATACTTTTGATATCATGGATGGTCAGTCCTTGCATCCATGTCTCTGTCTACGAATTTGAGAGTGGTTACATTTCTCCCATCACACAGCTTTTTACCAAAACAGAGGCGGGTTACAATTTAGTTAGTGTTTCAATTAAGGACTCTAGCGTTAAGCTGTTGGCTAGACCCGGGTTTGAGTAGGGACTACCCCCGAATTCGCTACAGTATGTCATAAATGCCTGGATGTCATACTCATTTAGGCTTTTCATCTAGTATAATTCGCTGCACACTATTGAGGCAATTAATCGTCTTTTCGCACCCATATGTATTTGACAACAGCTGATAATCAGAATAGGGGATGCGCTCTACAAATATTCACGAATGGCGGGGAACAGGCACGATTGCTCATTAGATGACGCCATATCAGTATTGATGAGTAGTATTTTGATATTTGTTGCTTACTTCATATGTTTTTACTAAACAGTACATATTAAATAGCATGTTGTACTATTAGTACAGAGTATCATCCTTTGGAATGACTATCTTCATTCCAAAGGATGATGCTCCAATACTCTCTGATAAACCCTTTCTCAACTATCCTCCTTTCTCTTTAATATACAGCTCTGTACAACCCCAGGAGAGAAGGGTGTGACCATGAAGAGAATCAGCAAGAGGATCTGAAATCAAACATCCAATGTGTTGATGCAGATGTCTTCTGTGTGCACTGTAACTGGAAATGTTCCCAATACCTCATAAACTACCCGTATTATACTGTTTCACCTTGGCATGTCCAGAGAGACCTGGATGACTCATATCTGTTGGATGCCTCTTCCAGTAGGCTACATGTCCAGCAACAGTCCTCTGTCCATCTTTATAAAAAATAAAATAAACATATCAACTACAATCGATGCAACTTTCTGGTATTCAACCTATTCACTGTTTGTAGTGGCAAATTGGTATCTATGATCAACTTTCTTGTGAATAAAGTAATGCCCAATTTATTTGTACCATCTCTTCGCGGATGTGGAGATCTGGAGGGCATGACACAAGGCAGAGAGGATCAAAGTAAGTAGTGATCTATGCCATCTCATCATGTATATTCTTGGGAATCGTAACATCTGTGGTAGTAACTCTCTCTCTCTCTTTATCTGTCTCTCTCTCACATCAATGAGCTTGTCACCATCCACCTCAGCAGTGTAAAGAAAGATACAGGGGATATTGGATCCTAATCTTGCCCCCTTCCATGGTGACGGTGGTCAAAGAAGGACAAAAATATGTACAAAGAAAAAAAATGGTTAAACAAAAATTTTCAAACCTGTTTGAAACATACACAGTAAAATTCCAATTTTCTCAAGAACAGTTTCTTAATTTAAGACTTTGACTCCATCTCGCTCTTCTTGCTGAGGGTGAACTTTTTGGTCCAGGTCTTGTAGGGGAGGACCTTGGTCAAGGTGAACTCGTCTCCATTCTGCTCCATTTCAGTCCTAATCTTCAACTCATAGCCTTTCTCAACCATGTCCTCAACCATGTCCTTGGATAATCATTGTGAAAGATAGAGGTAATATACCATCATATAGGTCTATTTCCTATTTTTCTATTGATTTTCTATTTCTATAGAATTATCGACTCATATTGTCATATTATCTCTTTTTTTGAGTTATTATGATTATTATATGCAATAATATACGGACAAACACACATCTACTGAGGAATAAAATAATGACAAAACGTATTCTCTCTCTACTATGAGATAAAACGTTGTACTTTGCAATCTAACATCTTTCATCTCATAGGTCCCGGTGAAGGCCATGGCAGTGCTGCGGTGTGGAGCGATGAGTAGACAAGGATTATGGTGAGGTGCTGCTGAGAGCAGACAGGTAAAGATGAGTACCACCCTGCTACCTTAAATACAGCACCACCACCACCCTAAGTCCTGTTGACAGTCACCCCTGTCCCGTTCCCTCCTATCATAAGGGTCGCCTAGTCGCACCTTCTGTTCCTAGAACTCAAATAGGTTTAAAAAAGGATATTAAAATTGATAGCCTTTATTCAAAGTGATTTTATTGTCCTCACTGTCATCGGAGACAAGCTCATCGAGGTGAGAGAGAGAGAGAGAGATACTTTAATTTGACTCTCATTTCGTCCATTCTCTCATTCTTCTCATGCATTCCAGCACACCACAACCCATGGAAAGAATAGTGTGGCCATGAAGAAAATCAGCAAGAAGATCTAGAACTGACCTTACACTGTTCCATCATTACAGAGCCCACTCACTGGACAAGTCCGACCCCTAAACCCTATGCACTTCAAATCAAATCAAATCAAATGTTATTTGTCACATACACGTGTTTAGCAGATGTTATTGCGGGTGTAGCGAAATGCTTGTGCTTCTAGCGCCGACAGTGCAGTAATATCTAACAAGTAATATCCAACAACTTCACAACATATACCCAATACACACAAATCGAAGTAAGGAATGGAATTTAAGAATATATAAGTAATTAGTGTTCCATTTCTTAAAGTGGCCAGTGATTTCAATAGGCAGCAGCAGCCTTTAATGTGCTAGTGATGGCTATTTAACCGTCTGATGGCCTTGAGATAGAAGCTGTTTTTCATTCTCTCGGTTCCAGCTTTGATGCACCTGTACTGACCTCACCTTCTGGATGATAGCGGGGTGAACAGGCAGTGGCTCGGGTGGTTGATGTCCTTGATTATCTTTTTGGCCTTCCTGTGACATCGGGTGCTGGAGAGCCCTGCGGTTGCGGGCGGTGCAGTTGCCGTACCAGGCGGTGATACAGCCCGACAGGATGCTCTCAATTGTGCATCTGTTTGTGAGGGTTTTAGGTGCCAAGCCAAATTTCTTCAGCCTCCTGAGGTTGAATAGGCTCTGTTGCGCCTTCTTCACCACACTGTCTGCGTGGGTGGACCATTTCAGTTTGTCAGTGATGTGTACACCAAGGAACTTGAAGCTTTCCACCTTCTCCACTGCGGTCCCGTCGATGTGGATAGGGGGGTCCACCCTCTGCTGTTTCCTGAAGTCCACGATCATCTCCTTTGTTTTGTTGACATTGAGTGAGAGGTTATTTTCCTGGCACCACACTCTCAGAGCCCTCACCTTCTCCCTGTAGGCTGTCTCGTCATTGTTGGTAATCAAGCCTACTACTGTTGTGTTGTCTGCAAACTTGATGATTGAGTTGGAGGCGTGCTTGTCCACGCAGTCATGGGTGAACAGGGTGTACAGGAGGGGGCTGAGCACGCACCCTTGCAGGCCCCAGTGTTGAGGATCAGCGAAGTAGAGATGTTGTTTCCTATCTTCACCACCTGGGGGCAGCCCGTCAGAAAGTCCAGGACCCAGTTGCACAGGGCGGGGTTCAGACCCAGGGCCTCGAGCTTAATGATGAGCTTGGAGAGTACTATGGTGTTGAATGCTGAGCTATAGTCAATGAACAGCATTCTTTCATAGGTATTCCTCTTCTCCAGATGGGATAGGGCAGTGTGCAGTGTGATGGCGATTGCATCGTCTGTGGATCTATTGGGGCGGTAAGCAAATTGAAATAGGTCTAGGGTGACAGGTAAGGTAGTATATGATCCTTGACTAGTCTCTCAAAGCACTTCATGATGACAGAGTTGAGTGCTACGGGGCGATAGTCATTTAGTTCAGTTACCTTTGCTTTCATGGGTACAGGAACAATGGTGGCCATCTTGAAGCATGTGGGGACAGGAGAATGGGATATGGAGAGATTGAATATGTCCGTAAACACACCAGCCAGCTGGTCTGCGCATGCTCTGAGGACGCGGCTAGGGATGCCGTCTGGGCCAGCAGCCTTGTGGGGGTTCACATGCTTAAATGTCGGCCACGGAGAAGGAGAGCCCACAGTCCTTGGTAGTGGGCCGCGTCGGTGGCACTGTGTTATCCTCAAAGCGGGTGAAGAAAGTGTTTAGCTTGTCGGCAGCGAGACGTCGGTGTCGGCGACGTGGCTGGTTTTCCTTTTGTAGTCTGTGATTGTCTGTAGACCCTACCACATACGTCTCGTGTCTGAGCTGTTGAATTGCGACTCCACTTTGTCTCTATATTGATGTTTTGCCAGTTTAATTGCCTTGCGGAGTGAGTAGCTACACTGTTTGTATTCTGCCATATTCCCAGTCACCTTGCCATGGTTGAATGCGGTGGTTCGCGCTTTCAGTTTTGCGCGAATGCTGCCATCTATCCACGGTTTCTGGTTAGGGTAGGTTTTAATAGTCACAGTGGGCACAACATCTCCTATACACTTCCTGATAAGCTCAGTCACCGTTTCAGTGTATTCGTCAAAATTATTTTCACAAGCTACCCGGAACATATCCCAGTACGCGTGATCAAAATAATCTTGAAGCGTGGATTCTGATTGGTCAGACCAGCGTTGAATAGTCCTTAGCACGGCTGGACCGATGTCGACAGAATATCCCCAGAGAGCCATGTTTCCGCGAAACAAAGTATGTTACAGGCCCTGATGTCTCTCTAGAAAGAAATCTTTGCCCTGAGCTTGTCGACTTTGTTATCCAAAGACTGAACATTAGCGAGTAGTATACTTGGACGCGGAGGGTGGTGTGCGCGCCACCTAAGTCGAACCAGCAGGCCTCTCCTCCTTGTGGAGATCTGAGAGGATATGATTGGTATAAACAACATGGTGAAACTTCCATTTGGCCTAAGGTGGAGCTATTACCATATTGCTTACACCCGTCAAATAATCTCAGATCTCCACAGCTGCATAGGGTGTAGGGATTAAGGGTTGATTTGGGATTGGGCAAGAACCTCTGGCTAGAGACAGGTCGGTAATGTCTCCTTATAACCACTAGGGGGAGACATCCTGCCACTGTTCCTCTACTACTGAAACAACTGAGATCCTTTACAAAATGAAATAAATAATAATTTATCCTCTAAACAGTGCTACCAGATTACTTAAAGACAGTAAGAAGAAAACAAACTCTATTTGCCACTGAAATTAGTTTTTTGATCACCAGCATTCAATTGATACAATGAAGTTGGATAAGTCAATTATAGCCTATTTTCATTTTCTCACAGTATTCATACAAATTAAATCAAGCTATGAACAAATTATTTTCCTTCTGATTTACTTTGTTATAGACACAATTACTGAACCAACCCTCAGCTACCCAAACCTAATAACAACAACATCAAGACCCATGTCTCATGGCTAAGGTCCTGTAAGACTTTCCAGACAACAGTTCCCCTCTTTGTACAGCAAACATATTTTCATGATTTCTTTGGCTGTGTTGGAGGCAAATTGAGATACCTTGTTCATCGTTAGAAAACGATCATGTTGTCAAGTTAGTATGCTCCATTCGGAAAGAAGTAAAGGGAGTTTACAATGCAACAGATGATTCATGTTTTAGTTCTGTGCCACTACATATATAGGCCTACATGTATCTACATAGCTCTATGATCAAAATCAGTTGAGAAATGGCTACCACCAAGGAGCACCATGAAAGGGTTGTAAATGTGACACCCCTAACTGTCACGTCTCATGTAAGCTAGTGCATACATACAGTGCATTCGGAAAGTATTCAGACCCCTTGACTTTTTCCATATTTTGTTACGTTACAACCTTATTCTGAAATTGTTTAAATCGTTTTTAAACATTTAGCAAATCTATAAAGAATAAACAACTGAAATATCACATTTACAAAAGTATTCAGACCCTTTACTCAGTACTTTGTTGAAGCACCTTTGGCAGTGTTCTTGGGTATGATGCTACAAGCTTGGCACCTGTATTTGGGGAGTTTCTCCCATTTTTCTCAGCAGATCCTCTCAAGCTCTGTCAGGTTGGATGGAGAGCGTTGCTGAACAGCTATTTCCAGGTCTCTCCAGAGATGTTCAATCGGGTTCAAATAAAATAAAATAAAATGTTATTGGTCACATGCGCCGAATACAACAGGTGTAGACCTTACCGTGAAATGCTTACTTACAAGCCCTTAACCAACAATGCAGTTCAAGAAATAGAGTTAAGAAAATATTTACTAAATAAACAAAAGTAAAAAATTACATATAAAGTAACACAATAAAATAA